AAAACAATTTTAGGCGATGTAATTAATTTATTTAAAATATAAAGATAATTTTTTCTACTGTTTTTAAGGCTTGCCCGAATTGTGTATATATATGTATAAAAAACAAAGTGAAAGTTTTAAGACAAAAATAATAGAGCGTGCAGTAGTTGCGAATTATAACCCTTAGATATTATAGAAAATATTTCCTCTTTTTGGATTTCATTTACAGGTGTCTTAAGTGATGCGAAATTTTTAGTTTCGAAATTTCCCGTATCCTAAATTAGGTATGATAATAACAAAAAACAAATTTTTAATGCAGGATTTATAGGATGAGAGTAGTTGTGTGTTGAATGCCCTTGTTACTTCAAAAAATATTCTATCAACTAGAATTCATTTATAGGAGCCCCAAACGGACAGAAAGTTTTAGTTTTTGGAGCACCTACGTTTGTAATTCCTACTAAGTTGGAGCCTAGTAACCCACCGAAATGACTGCAATATTATATTTAGTATTCGGTCTTTCCATGATGTCCTCCAATACTTTTTCTCCTTTTCAAATTGCAAAGTGTTTTTGGAACATGTTATTGGTGAAGTTATTATCCTAATGTTTTGAAATTGTTCATAATTGTAAATAATTTTCTTATAGATGGTAAAAGATGATAAAACCTGTTGTTAGTGAACAATGGCTTAAAAGCATACCTAAAGGTGTTCTTGTCCTGTATTTGGTGCACCCAGTGAACTTAATGGGTGTTATCTGTATGAGGGCAAAATGAAGTGCTATTTGTATTTAAGACACCAACTGGGACCCGATGATCTTACTAAAGAAACAACTGTAAAAGTTGGCGTGAGAAACTGAACAAGATATAAGGTCTTTATCCTCTCTAGATCTCATAAGCAAACGGTAGAGATTATTAGAACTTCCTCCAGAAACCTTTCAATGCTTAGATACAAACTTTAGGGGGAGAAGTACGATCGAGTCCTTTTTGATATAGCAGCTTGTAAGTACAATGACGTTTTTGTTTTATTGTGAAGAAGATCGAAAGGCACCTGCTGAAGAAAGAACTTTCCTAAATGATCAACAAAATTCGAGGAAAATTATTTTAGCCACTTTTGGTTTGAAGAAAACTGAGAGCTCAGAGAAAAGGCAAAGTGATAAGGAAGAATTCGGCCGAATTGCTAAAAGTTGTTATTGCTTTCTTAGTGCAAAAAGCTGTACAATGGGCTATCTGAACTCCGGATTGTCGCAGTGTAAGTTCGGGGTAATCGCTAAAACTGTTGCTACACTAGATGGTGTGTCGTGGCACTTTATTCAGAACACTTCTGAGGAATCAGAAGCTAGTACTGTTGTAAATAATTATGGCAATACATTCGATAGCACAGATAGCCCCTTGTATAACGTTGTGCTTAACAGCAACCAAGCCAACAATATGTAATACATTATCTGATGAGACCAACGCGTTTGAATGAAGCAAATTAACTTTAGGACATATTACTACAACTTCACTTCATCTAAATACGTTTTACAAAAAGAGGAAGACTTCAATTTTATTAGTCTAATCAGCTGCATCTGGGGCTTATTATCATTTATTAATTAGTAATATATATTACAAATACAGTTACCAATGAAAAATAATAATACAACGAATGTGAGTAATTTTATTTTAAATGTGTGAGTGTTTATTCATCTATCAAAAATATGTAGTGCTTGGTCCTAGTTAGGGCGCTTGTCTCGCAGTCTGCGAGTCACGGGTTCGAATCCCCTTCCCACCAAACATGCTCGCCCTTTCAGCCGTTGGGGTGTTATGATGTGACGGTCAATCCCACTATTCGTTGGTAAAATAATAGTCCAAGAGTTGGCGGCGGGTGGTGATGAGTAGTTTCCTTCCCTCTAGTCTTTCACTGCTAAATTAGGGACGGTTTGCGCAGATAGCCCTCGTGTAGCTTTACGCAAAATTACAAACAAACCAAATCAAGTTAATGCTTAAAATAAAATAATATCATTGATGAATAGGCCCCTCAGTGGCACAGCGGTATGTCTGCGGACTTACAACGCTAAAATCCGGGTTTTGATACCCATGGTGGGCAGAGCACAGTTACCACTTTGTGAAACTTTGTGCTTAACTACAAACAAAAATTGGTGATTGTTTGTTTGAAGTTAAGCACAAAGCTACACTATGGGCTATCTGTGCTCTGCCCACCACGGGTATCGAAACCCGGTTTCTAACCTTGTAAGTCCGCTGACATATAGCCGTCCCACTGAGGGCAAAAATTGGGGAATAGAGTATGATTAAAAAACAACATTACATTCTCCCTAGCGGTGGAATCTACAATGACTCATCTTGCAGTAGTTCAATCCTGAACCACGAAATGCTGATCGTTGGTTACGGTGTAGAGAATGGCAAGGACTACTGGCTGGTGAAGAACAGGTAAACTTATATTAGTAGCATAGAGTTACTGGCTAAAATACCAAGGTCCACACTGAGACACTACTAATTAAATTAAACCACAAATTTAATAAACTAATAGGTAAAAATGTGTGATCTGGGAGGCTTTTTTAATTCAAATTTTCAAAAAATTCTTGCAACGCTAAAAAACATTTCACTACATATTTACAGGCTATTTATTGTTTTTTAGTGCCATATGATTTCTATTATTTTTAAATGAAACATTGAAAACAAGAAGATTTAGATAAATTAACTGAATACAACAACTTAATAGTTTATATAAAATAAGTTAACTCTATGTTACAAAGAAACGTCTGTTGTGTAGTCACCCTCTTCAGCTGTGTGCCCGGCATGGCCAGGTGGTTAGGGCGCTCGACTCGCAATCTGCGGGTCGCGGGTTCAAATCCCCGTCACACCAAACATGCTTGCCTTTCAGCCGTTGGGGCGTTATAATGTTACAGTCAATCCCACTATTCGTTGGTAAAAGATTAGTCCAAGAGTTGGCGGTGATGACTAGCTACCTTCCCTCTAGTCTTACACTGCTAAATTAGGGACGGTTAGCGCAGATAGCCCTCATGTAGCTTTGCGCGAAATCTATAACAAGCAAATCTTCAGCTGTTTTTCGAACTTGTGACGGTGCTCAAATTGCTATTAAACCGACACTGCTGAAGCGAAGATGAAGAGTTTGTTTTTTACCTAATCCGGAGGATATCAGCAAAAAATTTTAGTTTGTTATTAAAGACAAGTATGAAAGCCTACAGTACAGTGAGTGTATTTCACCCTCAGAAGCACTTAATAGTTATAACTGAATATAACCAACAAGACGTCAAGGGTTAGTTGAAATACTTAATGAAATAATATGGAATTAAAGTGTTTACTTTTTTTTTATCTATTTACAGCTGGGGCAAAAGTTGGGGTGAGGAAGGATACATCAAGATGAGTAGAAACATGAACAACCAGTGTGGTATCGCTACGCTGGCTAGCTATCCTACTGTTTAAAGTCTTTGGGGTTTAGATTAAGTAACCAATGTGACAAATTAAATCAATATTCCGTGAAAATTGAAAGTAAAGCATGAAAACAAAATAATTTTATTAGAAGACATATGTGGTGTTAGATAAATTTGATGTATAAAACTGATGTTGCAATAAGTAGCATACATAATATCATAAATAATACTCAAAATCTCATGATTTTTCTAGACATTTTAGATTAGTTCCGGTCTCTGTTGAGACGATTCATTACTAAGGATTTTGTTATAGAAGCTTTAGAAATGTCATATTCCCTCGAATTTTAATAACATTTAACATGATCATTATATCACTCACATATGAAAGTTAATAAAACTTAGTTCTTTGAGTAAACAAATTCTCATAAAATGGTTAAGTTGCTCAAAATATACGTGTTAAAAGTAATTATTAAGACAACGTTTAGTTTTGATGCATGAACTTGTTAACAGTGTTGAAACATGATTGAAGCAATATACAGTAGAATGTTATCAACTGACACAGAAACATAGAAAAATACAGTTGGTCAACTGATTCTTGTTAAAAATGTGAAAAAGAATATTTAAGTTTTTCCAGTACTGTTAAATGTTTCTGTTTTTCTTATTTTAAAACTTATCTTTTCAGCAGTATTTGAAACACATTTCTGGATTATACATAATAAATGTTACTTATTCGTTTCCTATAAAAAAAAAATGTATCGCCAGTATTAAATAAACAAATATTTTGCAGTACGTCTTTAGCTTCAATGGCTCTGTAAACTATGTTCTAAAATACATTTTGCCTATAATTGTTTAAGTATTTTTTTTGGAGTTGGGAAGCAGCATAATATATTCGTACTTTAAACTTTAAAGCATTTTTTATTTTATTTTGTTGAACAGTGATGTTTTTTTTCTCTAACCATTCATTACCTTCTACTCTGAGTAACATAATTTATTAACATTTATAAAATCTTCTAAACCAGATATCCTTTGTAATTAAAAATACATATACATTAAAGTCGAATTAATTTGAATGCAGTTATAAGAGAGATAACTTTCATTTTGCTGTTCTTCTTCATAATTACAGCCACATCAGTTCCCATCGTAATCAGTCTGTAGAACGATAAAATATTACATGGATGTTTCAGTGGTGATTTTAATTACTCATTTTGTTCGTTATTAAGTTATGTACCAAATGTCATCATTCTATTAACCTGACGAAAATAGTCCATTTCACATCAAGTGAAAACTGTTCTCATAAGTAAATAAAAGCTTGCTTCAAGAACTGATGATGAAAACCGTTCTAATATCTAAATGGTGCTCAGCCGAAGTTAAGTTTTAGTTTTAGACATATTTTACTTTGTTACTTGAACTTGAATTAAAATCTGTCTTAATGTATTATATTAGGCATCTAAAGGCAGGATATTTTGAAATAGAGTTTTTATACTTAAACTGATGATAGTATTAAGCTGGATATACAATCAGTATGGAATTTCGAAGCATTAAGTAGGATTGTAATATCACAGATAAGAAAGGTCAACGTGTAAACGAACACTGGTATAAAAGAACTCCCTGAATACAATCACGTGATATTTTACTTACTCTGCTTCTTCAATCTCGTGCTAGGAAGACTAAATCCATGACTGGTTGAAACAGTCAACGTATTAACTTGGTTCTGAGAATGGATGGTAACTCGAAGCGTTAGTTACATGAAAAAATACACATTGTATCAACAATATCTAACCTCTTTGTTTTTCGTACTGATTTTCTTTGCTGAAGCGGTTTCTATCAACTGTTTGATTGGGAGGATTATGTTCAAACGATGCAAAAACCATTCTTGTTTAGGTAAGTACGTTATGCTAATACAGAAGTAAATTAACATACAACGTGTTTCGACAGTATCCTGGTCTGTGTTCTTCAAGTACTGTCGAAACGTATAGTATGTTTAAATAAATATCACTGTGCTTACAATTTGGTGTTTAATAATTTACTACAATACAAAAAATACTGCAAAGATAGATTGAAGTTACTGGTGACTGAGATCGTGGTAACAAAAATGAAAGTTCACTAATACTTTTTTTTTCTATTTAGGATGGAATGTCGTTGAGACAATATCAAAACCAATGCAAATATAGATTGAAAGCTGCTGATGTAGTTTGTCTTAATGATGATGAATGGAGAGTTTCTGGGTACTCATTGTTATTTATAAAGAGAGCTTCACTGAAACTCTGCGATGCTTAATTTTGAGTTTCTTGTACTTCAAGATCGTAAATCGCACATTATAATATACTACGGGCGAACTTCTTAATAGAAGTAAAGTAGCCAGCATTATTCCTGAGTTAAATTAATCCTAAGACTAACAAGACATCTGTTTTTAAAGTATATTCTTCTCCAGTACCTACCTTCACGCATCAATCCAGGAAGACGAAAGCAGACCAATAACAACAACGGATGATGAACCAAGGTCCATCTTCGTTCGTTTTAGCACAACTATGTTAATCAAATATATTATTCCCTACTTACACACCCTCCCTATATAAACGTGCATCGCCATTTTATACTGAAATTAGAAGCTCCTTTAATAACGAACGTTTTCTTCTGGGGGAGGGGGATAATTAAATTATATGTTATTCGTATATACTAACACCTACGACATCAAGTTACATTCTAACCGTTAACTTGGATCATATACAAAAGTTGAAGAGAAGCCTCCATTTCATATTAAACAAACAACTAAATATACATAAGTATCTGTTTACCGAATCTCCACCTACAACAAGGTCTGTAAACTAACACAGAGGATTATATCATGTAACTCAAACTTGTTGAACATTTGGATCTGCAACAAAATAAGAGAATTAATTGAACACGTCCACTTTAGATTTAAAACATGTTCAACTAATACGATGGTTGATTCACCTTGCACAAAGACTCGTCTGAACTAAAACAAAACATTGATTAATTTCAGCTTGTCCACTTGTGTTTGTATAAAATACGAGATATCTTAGAAAGTCTACAAATCTCTTTCTACACCACTTAGTACAAGGCTAGTTTAACAAAGAAGCCCATTGAATTCTTTATCTTTCGACGAGATTCAACACTGAATCAACGCGATTGAAATATTTTTGTTTAGATGGCTTTGAGGTTTCAATAAACTAAACTAAAATCAATTCAAAACCGGTACCATAAAGTTGGTTCTATATTGAATTAAAACAGAGGTTTTACGTTGTTAAGATTGGATCGAAATTGAGCAAAGACAAAGAGAATCAAGTTGCTTAAAAGGGCTGTATTAACTACCAGGGCTAAAGTTATTGATCTCCATCCTTGAGTTTTGGAGATATTTTGTACGTTGGATATGGTCAAAATCAATCATGGTAATCTCTTATCCTAAAACAGCTGTAAACGTTATTGGTTTGCTGAGAACGCCCAGACTGGAGTGCACTGTTTCATTTTGGAAATTTCTGGTGTCTGTGCCACTGGGATTTTATAAATTTTTCTGAAAAGTAGCTATTTGCTTCATGTGTCTACAAAAATTACAATTAATCATATGGCACATTAAAAGACAAACATTGCTAAAAAAGTGACGCTTTAGCGAATTTACCCAGCATTCCATTATCCAAGAATCTAGTATTGAGAGTGAACTGAAAGTAAGGTAAACTTACATGAGTAACGGACAGTAATCCTACTCGCGTGTTACAGAGCTCGCTAATCCTAAAGTTGCTGAATTGAAACAAATACTATTCTTTACAAAAAATTCTAGTTCCCCGGTGAAATAGCGGTAAGTCTTCGGATTTACAACGCTAAAATGAGAGGTTCGATTCTCCTTGGTGGACACAGCAGAGAGCCTGATGTGGCTTTGCTATAGGAAAACATACACACACACACACACACACATATTTGTAGAAAATTAATTTTTTTTAAATGTCCCCCGGTGGGACAACGGCAAGTCTATGGACTTGCAACGCTAAAATCTGGGCTTCGATTCCCTGTGGTGAAAACAGCAAATAGCCTAATCTGGCTTTCCTATAAAAAACAAACAAACATAAATAATTTCCTAAATATTTTAAGCACCCCAGTGGCACAGTGGTATGTCTTCGGACTTACAACGCTAGAAACTGGGTTTCGATACTCGTAGTGGGCAGAGCACAGATAGCCCATCGTGTAGCTTTGTGCAAACAAACAAAAATTTCTATGATCTGACCGTTAAGTCCACGGGCGCAAAAAAAAAGTAGCATGAAGGCTAAAAATTTAATTTCTGATTTGTATAAAAATACCAAAAATTCATATCAGTCATTCCCAGAAGTAAACGGATGAAATAAATTAATAAATATATAATAAGTCTAATAGATTTGAAAAGCAGAAATGTTATACATTTTGTGCTTAAGTTAGGTAAAAACGACACTTTCACGTGTAACGAGTCAAGTTTATAGAAAAAAATATATACTCTTAAAAATCAACAATTAGCTGTTAATATGTGCTTACTCTTTAACTTTTGACAAAGTATTAAAAAAATTATGAAGTTCTCCCATTAAATTGTTACTGGCGCTGATTGCTGGAATGGCTGATAAGAAAAACAACTATACATATTAATTAAATGATATACGTTCAGAACCTGAATTAATATATTAAAATACAAATAAAAAAAAATTGTAAATGTAAAATCAGTGCGAACAAGAATATACATGGATCATCCCTGAATGACTTACAATGAATAGCTGTATCGTCCCTATATTTATCCTACTGATTTGGTTGAACTTCCTAAATCCCTTTAGCTGCTTCACAACTTCCTCGCTATTTTAAAATAGTGCGAAATAAGAAAATCCCTTGCTTTCGTGAATATCACAATTTTAGTTTTCACTTTTTTAATTGCTTCATTTTTACTTCACACTGTGAAAAATTAATTTTTCTAATATCGAAAATATATACACCAAAGTGGTACCTGGTAATAATATATGGCTAGGTTATGTTAGTGAATAATAGACTATTGTTTACTACTCTCCAAATAAAGACTTCGAATAAAATGATAAAAACTTCTGCAGAGTTAAACTAGATAGTTGTGAAACATATCAACTTTATTCAGTTCTCAAGTTTCTCGTTTTTTATGTTATTTTCATTTTATTCCATTTCATGATTCATCGTACTTTTGTTTGACAATTGACATAATTTTTACTTAGAGTAATAACATAATGTAATGTAGACTGTTTTTCCTCAGTACAATAGATTGTTTAAGAAGTTCGTCATAACCCCCCAAAAAATCAAAACAAGAAGTAGGTTAAAATCAAAGTAATCCGACGGAAGATTTTTGTTTAATCGAGTAATACTATTAGCAGTTAAGAAAGCTAATAAGATGCTAAATAATCAGTTTAAGAGTAATTAACGAAGAAAACATTTCTTTAGAAAAATGTTTTTATTATATGTTTTGCTCTAAAGTACGCATAATAATGTTTTATTGTTTTAAAATTAAGTATAATTATATATATTTTTTATTCTAAGTTAAGTATAATTACAGGTTTTGTTCCAAAACAAAATATTGTTATATGTTTTGTTTGAATTTGATCGAAATGTGTCTTGCTTATAACCATTGCTAGACAAATTAAAAGGTACTGTAAGTTGGGTGTTAAATGAAGTAAACTTAATTTTTTCATTACAAAAAACCTAAAAAGTTGGATGATGATGCTAATATTTTATAGTTATATATTCTGAATATGTAGGGGCAGAGAGTGTTCTAGGATCTCACTGTTTGAAATCTGTGACATTTTAAACGTAACATGCCAGCGTCGTCACTGTTTAGGGGGTAGTATAAAATGAATTTAGAAAGAAACAATATGTATTGATATATAAAAGAACAAAAATCCAGGATTTAAATATAATATATTATTATAATTCGCGCCCCAATGCATTTAAAATACTAAATTTCAGGGTTTGAATCCGCCGCTGTGGACACGGCAGATATCCAAAACTGGCTTTGCTCCAAAACGAACAAAATTATTATGATGCTGTACAATTTTTAAATGTATTCAGAAAAAATGTCGATTGACAGGTTTTCAATTTAGTATGTAAAACGTCTCACTCTATTTTCAAATTAATGTCTGAACATATTCGTAAAGACTTTAATTTTTCTTGATTTAAAGGAGACAAAAATTATTATTGTTTTACGTGCAAAATCCTTTAGTGAACTTCGGTTGTTAAAAAAACAACAATATTACATTTAATTCAGTTTCGCCTTGTTTTTATTAACAAAACTGGTTCCATTTATCGGGCATTGCATTGGTAAAGGAACAAATATTTCTTCATTTTTCATTCTGTTACTCTTAGTATTAAGATACTTCTTTAAAAAAAATTTAGTTCACTTTTTTATTCGCTCTTAACGTGCTTTTGTATTAGGTTTGCTTGTTTGTAATTAAGCACAAAGCTACACAATGTGCTATCTATGCTCTGCTCACCACGGGTATCGAAACCCGGATTCTAGCGTTGTAAGTCCACAGACATACCGCTGTGCCACTGGGGGGCTTTTTTGTATTAGGAAAAACAATAGTTTGTAATTAAATATAAAGTTCTCGTGTTCAATTTAGACCCCCTGTAGCACAGTGGTAAGCTTTAGGACTTTGAATTCAGATTTTGATCTCCACAGTAACCACATCACAGATCGACCGTTGTGTAGTTTTGTAATTAACAACAGCATAAAAACAAAACAAGCTAAACATAAAATCTGACGATTTTTTAAATTGTTTTATTAACGGTTTAGGCCATTCTTCTAGTAACAAGAAAAACCTGATGTTTTGCACATTTTTTATTCGAATTTATACATCAATAGAATTATTTAGTAATACAAGGCTGTTTTGTTACACAAACTTTTATTTTGTTTCACTTTAATTTAAACTATTTTGAATGTGTTTTTAGTATGACTTAAAGTTGTGTATAGGTTTTCAGTATGATTTAAAATTGCGTAAAGGCTTAAACAGTAGGATAGCTAGCCTGGGTGGCGATACCACACTGATTTTTCTTGTTTCTGGTCATCTGGATGTATCCTTGATCACCCCAGCTTTCACCCCAACTGTAAAAAAAAGATATAACTGAATTGTAAAATTTCTATATTATATTTTTCATTAACTTAAAAGTAATTTAATAAATGGGTATACGTGGTAGTAAAATTATCTTTTCGTGTTTTTTTTTCCAATAATAATTATAATAATGTAGTCTTCCTTCAATATAAACAATCTAGATAACTATTAAGTGTAGATTGGATAAATTTAATTTTATTGGTTATTGCCTCAACTTTCTGACTATAATCCTTTATCAGTTCTTCTCATAATGGTACACTCTTTAAAATTCGTAGTTCTACGTTTAAGTCGAATGAGAACAAACTAACGAGCTCGTGGAAAAATGGCATCAAATACAGAACAATTGTTGGAAAAGAGGCCAATTACTGAACATTTGTTGGAAAAAGATATCAAGTACAAAACAATTGTTGGAAAAGGATACCAAGTACAGAACAATTGTTGAAAAGAATATTAAATACAAAACAATTGTCGAAAAAGGATATTAAATACAAAACAATTGTTGCAAAAGGATACCAAGTACTGAACAATTGTTGAAAAAGAATATTAAATACAAAACAATTGCTGGTAAAGGATACCAAGTACAGAACAATTGTTGGAAAAGGATGCCAAGTAGAAAACAATTGTTGGAAAAGGAGACCAAGTACAGAACAATTGTCTAAAAAGGATATTAAATACAAAACAATTGTTGAAAAATTATATGAAATACAAAATGATTGTTGGAAAAGGGGTATCAAATACAAAACAATTGTTGGAAAAGGACATCAAGTACAGAACACGGTTTTAAGTTTTAAAATGTTAACAGAAGTATGTTAAGCATACTTTTTGAGATTAATTTCAGAAAAAAATATTATTTTCAATTTTGTTTACACTTCCATCAGAACATTTTTTATTCTTCAGTTGGAAAAACTCTAAAAAGAAATATAGCTATAAAGGTATCAGGCATTTAAGAGTACCCAGTTTATATTAGATAAAACATTTAAAATGAATGAGAAAACTAAAATTTGCAGTCTACTACGTTATAGGAGACAGGGGTTATTAATGTTTTGGCTCGTTGGATATAGGACAAGGAAAAAAACACATTATTGCTAAACATATGCTTTCTAGACACTTTCGTGACAAAAGTGCTTAAAGAATGGAGAAATAATAGAGGTAATAAGTCGAAATTAAAGGTACAAAAATTAAGTAATAACTTCTTTATATTGAACACACATTTTTTAGTCTGTTGTGTGTTCAGCGTTACTTGTTTAATTCAATCAATAATTCGCTACTTTAGTCTCTGGGTGTTTAAATCAATGATTCCACAAATAATGATATAAACTTACCTGTTCTTCACTAGCCAATAGTCTTTGCCATTCTCTGTACCGTAACCAACAGCCAACACTCCGTGGTCCAGTAACGAACTACTGCAAGATGGCTCGTTGTAGATTCCACCGCTAAGAGGGAAAATCTCAGTTGTATATATTAAAACCGAACGAACAATGGTCTGTATATTAAAAGTGAAATATTTACTAACTAGTAAGATTGGATGTTCAGTCTGTGTATTTTACCTCCTATATTTAAGTAAGTAAATATCTTCTGACAACGTAAGACTGAAGAGGACGCACGAATGTGTCGAAACTAGTTTTGCTAATATCAGACTTCTGATAGTTTGTTCCGTTTACTGTGGTTTTCCACTAATTACTATACACGATATTGTGTTTTTATATTTTATTTTAGCTTTTATCGTTATTATCATTATCGAAATATACACGCGATTAACTAAAAACATTACGAATTGTTATCTCAGTCACTTGTTAGGTTCATTTAGATTTAAAAGCTTATAGTTATAAACACGTAGTAGGCGGCTGATTTAAGTTAAATTTCGCATTGAAATAGTCTTAGTCTTATGTAATTTTGTGATATCTCAGAGGTTTCGGTTTTTATTAGAACTGATTTCTTTGAACAATGAATAAATGATCACAAATAACTTCAAACGAAATTTTTTTTAGGACAGAGAAGTAGCACTAAAAATATAAATATATATTATTTATGTACAACATGTTGTCACTTTAAATAAATTAATTACATCGCCTAAAATTGTTTTTGACTGTATAGGAGCCACCATCACGGGATACAAGGATATTCCTTCGGGTGACGAACAAGCCCTGAAGACGGCTGTAGCTACTGTTGGTCCTATCTCTGTGGCCATTGATGCCAGCAACTTCAGTTTCCAACTGTATTCGTAAGTTTGGATCTATATCCATATCTTCACCCCTCTCCATCTAGATAGATGATTCTAGTTCCGCTTGAATTTACACTTTTCGTCCTGGAAAATTGTTTTTAAGTCTTATATATAAGTGTTAGAGTATTTAGCAATTTTTGTCTTGTACAGTTTTTGTTTTACAAAAATCACACACTTGTGCATCAATTATGAATCAACAGTTATACCAACTTAAATCTATTCTATTATAAAAGATGAATATCTATTAACAAGATAACCGTTAGGGTGTGACGAAAGTTATTAGGGATGATCCACCCAGATCCCTAAGGTTCGAGCCTTCATAATTCATGAAATATGGTGATTTGAAAGTAAACTTCCACAATACTATTACATTAGAAACATTTTTCTCTGTTCTAAACACGCTGTTGATATTTAAACACAGATTTGTAGGTATTTGTGATAACAAACAACCAAATTATATTATACAGATCAACTTTTAGTCTTGAATTCTAACTGCCAAAGATGGCTGATGGAATCGGTATTGTAACATCAAATCAGCTTTTTCTAATTAGACACAGCAAAGCACATCAAATAAAGACGATGAATCATAATCAATATTAATAGATTCAGTAAACTTACAATTGCCTTATACTTGTAGCAGTCTTCTCTGTCGATTCCTTTGTTATCAATGATGTATTGAAATCCGTAATCCATCAAGCCTCCGTTACATCCCATGTTGCCTATGTTATGATTAAATTAGCTGGATTAATATCTTCATATTTCATTACTTGTTATCTCTACTTATATAAAATAGCTGCATCGAATACACGTGACATTTCAGCACATTTACTCGACACACTTTCTGTTCTTCTTCTCTTTCGTCTGTTGATCAATACGAATTATTTTTTTAATAAAATAGATCTCAAGTACTACCTTAAATTATATCTATGACTTACAGCCTTCTCTTAAGAGGATTTTACGAAATAGGTTTCTTACGTTATGTTAATTATTTAAGATAGTTATTTTCTTTCTCAGTAGAAGACTATAGTCTGCTAACTCTACCATGAAGTTTCGAGTTTTATATTACTTGTACTATTTATGGAAACAAATATGGGTTAAAGAAATGACTGAGGAAGCAAACGGCAGAATAATCTATCAAGTTTAAGTTACTCATGTCCTTCTTCCGAATACGCTGTAGATGAAAGGTTGTCACTTATGACATTTTGATTACATTTTAATAAATTTTTATTTTCTTTTTTATAGTGTTATTGGATCTTTTGATTCGACTATTGAAGAACATCTAGAATGATCTATAAAACTATCTACCTTCTTTGCCAGAGCAGTCCACCAGGTTTTGTTCACTCAAGGACACCAGTTGTCCTGTCTTCAGAGCGTATTGTCCTTCAACTGATCCGGTAGTAGAGAAAGCCCAGCAAGACCCACATTGTTTCTGACATAAAAATATTCATACAAACCGATCTGTCTATACAGCAATGTAAGAGAAAATCTTCCTTATAATTGCTGAATATCTTTTTATTTCCTAGTTGTGATATGAATAATGATAATATCTAACAACAGAAATTTACTGCTAATAATTTTGTTGTTAATCCTTAAGAAATAGTAATTATATATTTTTGATCCAAACATCTTTATCTTAGAACTCTTAAGTTATCCATCTAGGTAAAGCAGAAATATCAAAGGCAATATAATTGAATAAACTAAAGTTCATAAGGCGTTCGTACACTGACAATGAAAAGCACTACGCAAGACACTTTTAGTACCTGGTCCTTAACTCCAGTCACCACTTTTTTGTCTCTCCAGTCGACCTCATCAGGAATCATGACGTTTCGGGGAGGAATGAAGGCATCCTTGATCTTCCTGGTTTGGTTGAACCTCCTGAATCCGTTCAGCTGTTTCACAAACTCCTCGCTAGTCTTAAATAGTGCGAAGTGAAAATAAATAAATAAACATGAAAAACAACTCCCCAATGAATCTACATTTTACATTATTGTTTTTAGTTTCATTTGAAAGAATGAATTGCTCTTACACAGAAAGTAGTTAAAATCAACTATGTCATAGTGATATATTCCAATATAAGAAAGTAAAACTAGAAGATTATGCCTAAATGTTTTTGAACTAGAATACTCAGACATTGAGTTCAGAGTGTGAATAATCTTACCAGATCAGCATAGGCGTTCAGTCCCAATCTGTAGGTGTGGATTCCAAGATCTGCCTCAAGGTTGTGGTGTACGATACGAGCCACATTCTGTTCGAAGATGAGACGTCGTACGCCCTCTACTTTTCCTTCGTACTTCTTGTTGTAAACAGTCTAAAACAGAAAATGATTTATTATTAGCGATTCCAAACAAAGCCTTTTAATATACTGGTAAACATAAAATCTAAAACATTAATTCTCACGATTTCCCGCGGTGGTCATAGTAGTATAGCCAAATGTGGCTTCGCTCTAAAAGTAACTAACTAAAACATTAGTATCATAGAATTTCAAGTTGAACTTTCAACTTGATGTAATTCGAATAACGTGATATGCTATTGACCCTAATATTAAAATTTATCAAAAAATAATCTAATAGCCTAGAAAATGTTATATATTTATTAAGTAAAGTACTTTTTGACTTCTCAAACCACTTCACTCGGCATGTTTCATGATACTGTATTCACTTGAATTAAAAACATGGACATTAATTAATTAGTTTCATTCATTTTGTGCAAAACAAAATAGCTGTTTATTCCCACTTTTTGAAACAGAAACGATGAAAATGAAACTAGAGATTTGTGAAGAGAGATCTTCTCTTGAGCAGGTACAAGCGTTCTTATTATGTAGCACCCCACTGGCACAGCGGTATGTCTGCGGACTTACAACGCTAGAATCCGGGTTTCGATACCCGTGGTGGGCAGAGCACAGATAGCCCATTGTGTAGCTTTGTGCTTAATTACAAACAAATAAACTTATTATGTACGTATATTGCTGATATTTAGAAACATGCGAAATGTTATGGTTATTTAAACGAGTAACTTCATCGTAACGACTGACTGTAATTATTTTCATAAAACTTTGTTTATTTCAAAATTGATTCTGTTTAAAAAATGCGAGAATCAGACTACTTTAAAATTTAATGGAATTTTCATTCAGCTGAAACGCATATCGGTGTCATAGAATATATATATATATATTCATTTTTCATTTTATTCGGCGAATAAAATTAATCATTTTTGTTTGTTTATTTGTAATTAAGCACAAAGCTACACAAAGGGCTATCAGCGCTCTGACTACCACGGGTATCAAAACCCAGTTTCTAGCTTTGTAAGTTCGCAGACATACCGCTGTGCCTCTGAGGGGGGGGGGGGCTAACAATTAACTAGATTGTGTCACTAAAACTTTCACTATACCTTAAAGTTTTTCCAGTGTTGCTCCAGATCTGTGTGATAAGGAGCGGCAAGAGTAACTGTTACAAGGACGGTGAGGGCTACGAAACGAAGCATCTAGAAATTCAACAAAAATTAGTTTGAAATAAAAAAAGGATGAAGACGGTATTCAATAAAAATAAAAACATTATGAAGACGATATTCAATAAAAATAAAAACATTATGAAGACGATATTCAATAAAAATAAAAACATTATGAAGACGATATTCAATAAGAATAAAAATATTATTAAGACGATATTCAATAAAAATAAAAACATTACGAAGACGAGATTCTCATATGAGTGAAGTCGGTCGCTGTAACAAAAAGGGTAATTCTTAAAGCCTACATTTGATCAGAGGTGGGATGATGTAGTGATCTACCACAGAATTGAACCCTTTGGCAAAAGAATGTATTACTTTGAAAACTTGTTTTCCGATAGTTACTATTCCGAAAAAATATATATAATAGTATGCAAAAACAATTAAAATTTTCGAAACATAATCCTCACTGAAATTCGTTAACTTTCCTGGCGCAGGGTTTGCGTTATCTACGTCATTTCTCTTTACTCGTTATAAGATATCAGAATAAGGAGACATGATTAAGATATAGTGAAATATAGTTTCCCAGTAAAGTTCTTTTTTTTCATACTAATCAAAGTCAAAAGTAGTCATTTATTGTATCAATACTTGCAGTTAAGTTAGAGCTTTCTGAGAAAGTGTCCTTTAAAAAATATATACAAATATTACACAAAGATGTTGTTAACTTTTTATGAATTTTTTTTATCTTAATATTTATTGCTAAAACTATTATAGACGATATGAAAATCGTCACACAAAGTAAGAGAACGGTCTTTTAATTTCATACCTATCTATTCAAAAGCATCACTTACCTTGCTGTAATAAAGCTAATAAAAGCAACGTTATGAATAACAGTGAGTTGCTAGCTTTTATACTATGAAGTTAAACATTTTTATCAATTAGTTATCACGTGAAAATGAATGAACGATTCTCTGTTTTATTGTTTTCTGACCTGACCTATGTTATCATTAAGTGAGGTCACATGGTGTAACAGAATCACGACGACAGGTGATTTTTGTTATCAAGAAATATGAAATCATTCTATCAATTGTTGTACGTTATTCACAAAAAAAAAAATGCCTTGTTAAAATTCATCAGGAACCCATTTCAAGTGAATGTTTCTCTGTCATATTACCTCGACCTCGTGAGTTCCTTTATCAATAATATTGTCCTGATACTGTGACAATGGTACCTGAAGAGAAAGTACTTAAACCTAGTCTAATGATACATAGTAACTGATATTCCGTATCTATGCTTACTTTAATACGAGTGAGTGTAGCTTATGAACTAGTAAGCACTTAAGATCTGATCAACTGTTTTTTTTTTGAAGAACGTAAACTTAAAACTGATTCAATCTCGATTGAATTAACTTGCCCAAATAACACCAAATTTGTCATGTAAAGTCGCCCTAATTCTTCATTACTTGAAACATAACATAGATAAGTAAATTGCACATAAGTAAAATCTAACAATCCTTTAATACGTAACACAACCAGACAGTGTAATATAACGTGTTGGGAGTCGACTGTCGTCAATGTAAAAGAGGACTGGCAAATTCAATGACCAAAATAATCAGTAAACAAGTAGTGTCTCATTGAAATACATTGAAAAAATAGACTTTTTACATCAGTTTCAGGTCAACAGAAACAAAATGGTTGGCGTATATAATTTGTCCAGAGAGGGTGCTGTTGTGTACAATAAATACGTTTACATATGGTTATAAGATGATTAAAAAAATCATTTTAACATGTTTGATTACTCCATCTATAAGTGAATTTCGTATACATTATAATTCTGTTTTAATATATTGACTTTTTACATCATCATTTCTGAAAACAAATGGAATATACTACTGAAAAAGAAAAATGACACGGGAGTTCATTATCATTTATCCTAGTGCCAAGTCCACAATTTTGAGTGTTCAAATTTTTATCAGAAAACAAAAACAAAACATATTTATATATATTCCATGAAATCAAAATATTTAATCACTAAAAGTTGAAGAGGGACTTTAATACGGAGGTCAAAAGTAACAAAAACAATCTATGTGAACATAATGAGGTAAAACGATATGGTTCGATGAATATGATATGAAATGAATGTGAACAGTTTAAGAAGTATTTTCATGTGTACAGCTTGATTTGACTCTTGTCACATGTTCTACAAAAAAAATCAAATTATCTTATTTTCATATGAGAATAACTCTGAGGTCATAAAGATAACTCTGAATGAACCATTTTGTTAATAAACTTGCCACTATATTTTCAAACAGGGAAAAGGGTCGTATTGATTAAGTAACTATAAATGTATATTGAACTTTGATTTGTAATGCAACGTATTTTTAATACCGAATGGGATCTAACCTGTATTGTTTGTTTGTTGTTAAGTTCAAAGCTATGTGCTATCTGTGCTCTGCCTAGTGTGGGTTTCGAAATAGGATTTTTAGCATTGTAAGCCCTCAGGTTTATCGCGCTGAGCCAACAGAAAAGGAGAGGGGGAGGGGCTAATGTGTACTGAATGTAACAACTCAAATAACGTGAACGTTCAGACAATAACAATCGTAAATGCAACGTTATATTACATTAATATGTTACAAAACTTGTAAGTATCAAACACAAAATAACATATTAAGGTATAGAACTTATAAGTATCGAACACAAAATAACATATATATGTATATGTGATCGATTTATTTATTTTTAAAGCTAATAAAAGTATTTGTAATGTTAAAACAATATGGTGATGGAAAAGTGAAAGATTACACACTTGTTTATTTTTACCCTTGTCAGTACTTCGTAGATTAAATATACACGTGCTGCTCAAAATAACTATTCAAAGTTATTTACAATAGTGACACACCTGTTTGTCACTACACCATTATCTTCATTCGAATAACCAACCAGCTTTCGTATTCAAGTAAATCAAAATATGGATTATTTTTCACTTTATATGAACAACTTACATTATACCAGTTTCTTCATTTGATTTTATGCTACTTGATCTGAGTTGGTGTGTTTGTTTAGTGTTAAGCACAAAGCTACACAATGGGTTATCTGTACTGTGCCCACCACGAGTATCGAAGCTCGGATTTTGGTGGTGTAAATCCTCAGACTTGTCGCTGAGCTACTGGTGGATACACTGGTCTGAGATTATTTCATGTCATTAGATGCATTTTACGTATTCATTTCATATATTTCGGTGTGTGTGTGTGTGTGTGCGTGTTCATTTGGATTAATTCGACGTGTTTTGTGTGCTTTTTTTGCATCATTCAGTATTTTATGTTTTCGTGTCATTCGGTGACTTAGGTAAGCTAAGTCGTTCGAATTGTTTATATCTTACTTCATTATATGCGACTTATTTCAATGTTTGTTTCATAATATACGGTTTATTTTTATGTTTATTTCATTCCACAAGTGTATATTTATGTCATGTGATACAACTGGTTTATGTGTTGATTTTGTAGCATAAAACGTGTATTTACTTTATATAGATAATCCTGAATGGTTTATAGGCTATACCACTATCTAGATATCCGACATATCTCTATTAAAGTTTTAATAGAGCTGTCAATAATGTAATGTTGAATGTTTTGAACACAATCTGGTTTTACAGGTTACGAAGGTTATATACATCCCGATGAAATGATATAACTATCATGAACCATCGTAGTGTTTCATAATAGGGATCGCAAGGAATTTCACAAAACCCTAATAGAACGTTCGGGCAAAAACCACTTTAAACAGTAAAGATTCAGTTCAAACAACACTTTAAAACCTTTACTATTGACTGCTAAGGCTGTACATTTATAAAAATGCACAAGAAAAGCACGCATGCTTGACTTACAAAGAAATGAAATTCCGCTCAAAACTCCCCGTTAGTAATTCTTCTTATCATTATTATTCTCTTGCCAGCCTACAACAAAAAAGAGCTTGATATATTGCACGCAAACCTTTTGAAGAATACTAAATAAGGTACTGATAAGGATGTAGGAGTATTGAAAGGTCGATTTTTTTCCGCTATATTTTACATAAGATTAAAAAACATCATAATTATAGTGTAGTTTGCTTTCTTATGAATATTTGATGTTCCTTTAAAAAGCAGGGTGAAACAAAAATTACCAGCAAATAATAGACGAAGATTAGATGATTGTAACATGTAGATACTCAATGATTTGTACATTATACAATCTATGTCTTTAGGGAGTCAACTCCTGAATTATGTATGAAGTGAAAGAGTAAAAAATCAATACACATAATATTCAGTTTGATTACACACATTCGTAGAATAATTACTTTAAAAGACACAATAATGGTTTAGTTAAAGCGATTTTTATACGTATATGTTTTATTTGAAAAGGCTGCTTTTTTACTGGTAAAGTTTTATATGCGCTTAGTGGGGTGTATCTTAGTCTAGGCATATATTTGCCCATTGTTATGTATTATATATATAGAAAATTTCGTTACACAAAAACTATAAATGCTCACTATATTTTCAAACAAATCTCCATGACAATCTTCAACTGCAGCTTAACATTTTAAATCTCGAACTAATGTGATCAAATAGTCAATAGCTACAGTAAATCATCATGAACCGTATCAGCCAGCTACTAGCTATGTTTATTATCATTACAATGTATAAAGTTAGCTACCATATCAAGTAATCTTTTGCCCATAGTCGAGCATAAAAAAGCCAGCAAACAAAATAAATAACAAATTGGGAATTTAAAAACCTACAGGTAGGGATCGTAAAAAAAATAAGGAAACAAGGCTGGAGACACTGTAGACGTTATTTACACAAACTACAAATTTTTATTTTGACTCCATCATATGTAATTATAAGTAAGAGCATGGAGCCAAAATAAAGATTTGTAGTTCAAGTAAATAATGTCTACACTATCTCTAGCCTTGTTTCCTTACTTTTTTAAATATCCCTATTTGTAGGCTTTTAAATTCCAAATTTTTATTTATCTTGTATATTTAAGATCGAACTATATTATGTTGTGAGAAGTAGTTATTTCAGGTTTTGACATTTGTTTATTTCTTTAGTATTTTTATAGGTGTTTTATATTTTACATATAAAACGTATTTTACACATAAAAATATTTTTTATATTTATAATAGGTATTGCTACGAACACAAATACGAGACTTTGTTTATATTATTTTAGTATTTTCATGAGTGTCATACATATATATTAGACATTGTTTTTAATAGGTACTGTCAGGAACACGAATACCAGATTATGTATATTTCAAACAGTATTGTAAGTCATTGTTTGTCGTAACTAACAGAGGGGGAGATGCGGGGAGTGTCAAAGGGGACAGCGTAACTGGGCTTTCACAAGAGATCTATATTATTTGCTATTTATTGTTCATACTCAATAAAATATAAAATTTTATAACTAAAAATGTGTTTAAAATTATCTTAATAACATGACAAACTTTTTTTTTCTTATTATTCTTCATTCTTTACCAACGGTGCGTTTTGCGAGCATTTTTTCCCGAGTCCTTTGTAATTTCCACCCCTAACCTAGAAATCTTGGTTCCGTTACTTTAGTAGGTAATCGACATAAACCTTTTTGACCTTTAAAAATTTATGTTTTAAAGTTTACCACAGTTTATCTTAATACAACTACAAGGTTGTTCCTGTTAAAATTCAGAGTTATATTCCAACTTTCCAAAGTAGACAAAAACCTTTTGGCTGTGTGTAATGTAAATTGAAATGTAGACTAAGAATCATGATAGAGACAAAAAAAAAAAGAGACTGTGGTAACTGAAATAAATAATTAATAGTAGTTGATACCTAGATGATAATTATCCAAAGTTCTATAACATCAAGTAAATAGAAGAAATATCTCTCATATCTAAATTTAATTTCCTTCA